TAATCGACTAAGTCTAGATAACAGTTTAATAATACATACATTATTTTGCATTTTATACCAATTTATAATAAAATATGTTAAGATTTTAAAATAAGAATATACTTGAATATTACTTATGATGGATTTTTGAAACAGCAACCAAAGTAGTTGTATTCTTTAAAGCTAATAATTTTAAATTTTCATAAAAATTCAAAGTCAAATAATAACAAAAGTTGTTACAACAAAAAAAAGAATCTCTACAAAAAACTGTATTTGTGGATTTTAAAAAACAAAAATCATAAAGTATAATATTTACAGTAAGTACATAAACCAATATACCTAAAGAAAGCTACTTTCACAAAACACAAATACTCATTTTTTTTTTAATCAATCTTTGAGAGTCGTAAAATAACTTATTACAATTATCTTAATAATAAAGATCAATTTAAAATTTGCATATATAAACTGTAAAGTTTCCTAAAAATATATTACCGTTTACCTAAAATTACTAAGATTTTATTTAGTAATAAATTAATATACTTGTTTTTTTTTTTTTTTAATATCATTCTTCCACGCGAACATTTTAAAAACTAATTAAATGTATTTTCTAATTTGGAATAAATATTGATAAAATGTGTAAAATGTGTATGACCTCAAAAACAAAACATACTTAAGTATACAAAATGCATTCTTCATAAACGCGCACTAACGCGAAATATTTATAGACAAAAAATAATTTATTATACTCACTACTCACTCTTAGCAAAGAATTGAGAAATAAAAATAAAGGAATTTATTTGAACACAAAAATACAATCGCCCTGTTGTACTATTTAAAGAAAAATTACTTATGCTTTAATAATTTACCTAAGTGCATTTATCAATGACATTTTACTTATTATTACATACAAATTAAAAACATTCAGAATCAGGCTTTCAGATAAACGGACACCTGTTATTAAGTAGTTTACATATAAAATACTTACAAATCCAAAACATTTTCACCAACAAAAAAATAATTATAATATTTATTGATTTCACATATAAGTAATATAAATTTATAACTTGACCTTTAAGAACTTTAAACCTATTAATTTCTAATAAGCTAAACAAATAACACAGTTTGACATCATAAATAATTTATTATCTAACACAATAACCATCTTTTTATTCTTAAACGCGGACAGCAAGCGACTTCAATCTTCTAATTTATATTTCATAAAATTATGCATAACATTTCCCCAATATTTTTCTATGATAAGAAACTTAACACTGTTGTTAAAGTATAATAACAATGGTAGGTACCTAGTATGATGTATTCATCTATAAATCATATTCATCATATTCATAACTTTAGTCGTAATTTTTGTCTAAACATATTTTCATATTAAGTTTTATAACATTAATTTTTACAGTAGAAACTATATTATATTTTAATATTTCTTTTTTTTAACACATATGTTTGGGACTTAATATATAATATAACCAACAATATATGATACACAATTTCAAAATTTAATTCTTTAAATACAATGCTAAGGCAAAACCACTATAAGATAATAACAACCTACTAGATGAAAACTAATATGCCATTTAAAGTATAAGATGTAAACCATTAAAATATTTTGAACAGATTAAACAATATATTTATATAAATATTCTTTCACATTAACATATATTTTAAAACCAGTTTTTTTCTTGCTGGACATTAAATACATTGTTTTGTGAAATATTATTTTTTTTATTTACAGACCCTAAAAATTTCCCACGAAAAAAATCTACTTATTAAAACCAATGAACATCAAAAGTGTATCCAATCGATACATGTGTGCTTTGTACCTAAATCAAAATTAAATCGAGATTTAGGATTAGGTGGATTCAAAAAGACGCATTTCGTGGGAGCCGCCCGGTGCCATCACGACTGGACAGAGGAATATAGGAAACGTGAGAGTCACCGAGGGAAAAAAATACATAGTCAAGTGTATTGTGTATGGTTCAGTCACGATACGATAAAAATTGTGTAGCTATTTCACGGCTTATCGTTAAAAATACCGTGTACATTAATTCTGAACGATATAATAATATAGTAATATAATGCTTATTGTTAACACAAAGACCATTTCGAAAACAAACTGAAACAAATTGTACACAGCAAATTTATAATATATAATATGATAGTCGATACATGATAATAGTACGCACCACAGCTTGTTGTTTATACATATTGGACGTAACAAACGATTAATACAAGAATATTATTTGATAAAATACTAAGAATAGTCATAATAATTAAGTATTAGTATTATTTTATTATAGTTGAAACAAAAATAGTAAAAAAATTAAAATCATTAAGATTAGTAATACTGTTTACGACGCAGTTTTAGTAAAATAAAATAATCTGAACTTAAAAATGTTATTGGTTTAAAGATCAGTTGTATATATAATGTACAATATTAAAAAATAGATACATCTTCATTGTAATGACTTAAAAACTAAAAATTAATTAAGTACAGAACGGTTTTTACTTAGTCATGATATTAGTATAAATGTATAAGAGAATTAAATTTTGTTTAGTTATTAGGTACTTATTGAAGAATGGCGCCAATGGCTGAGAAAAAAGCAATATAGTGCGGACGCCGGAAGGCATAGTCAACTGACAGACAACCTAAGAAAATACAGACGTCAACAAACACTTACTCGCATTTTCAAAATCTAATAATAAGCATTATAAAAATGTACAAAAGTTTTTATACATTTTAATTTCAATAAAATAACAAATTTTCTTTTAAAAACTTAAAAACAAAATAAACATTACCTAATTAGTAATTGTTTTGAGTTATTAAAATTCGTAAGAAAAATATTTTCAGCTCAAAAATATATTATTAAACAATATATTCAACTATCATCACTCAAGGGAAATTTTTCATATTAGGATGAAAAATATTATATTATTAACTGAAATAAGAGTGTGATGAACTTTTCAATGATAGAAGTCATAACAGGGTAGAAGGTATTCATTCGTTCACTAAATAAAATTAAACCGAATAATCCATTGAAATGATAGGTACCTATTCATATATAACCATCTATTTTCTAAAAGACATTCAGTTGACGTGAAAATCGGATGTCTGGTATCAGCATGGTTGTTATTCAGAAAGTTTCATTATTTAAATTTAAAAACATTGATTTTTAACACAATAATGAAAAAGTAATACAAACTTTTAATGCGTACACCTATCACAATAATACATTTATTTAAAATTGAAAATATTAAATAAATTTATGACATTCTATATACTTATAATCTAAACTATAAAGTATGTATTTCGATTTAAATTTTAAAACAATGTTAAACCTTTTCAACAATAATATAATATTGCTTATACTAACTACAATATTATCTCATTAATTATCTAATAATTACATAACTATTTAAGTACACATAGAACGAAATAAATGTTTGTTTTTAGTTTTCAATTAATTTAACGCTAAGAGAATAATTGTATTTTAGCATTTGTTAACTAGCTGAATAAAATGTAAATTTTTGATATAGCTTAAGAAACAAATACCTCAACAAATCTCTTTTACACATTTAGTAGAATATATTTAATTAAATACCTACTAAATACAATTCAATAAACTAGCTTGTTAAATACTTACATTATTAACCTAATTGTTATTATTTTTTTTTAAATAACTTATGCAGTAGTCTGGGAGGAACACTGTTATTAGACTTGCACAGAATTAAAAATATCTTCACATTATTTCGTGTCAATTGTTTATATTTTATTCCATATAAATTGTTTATAAGTTGTTTACATTAGTTTTAAAAAATACAGTTAAAAACTTGTTATCGCGCCATTTAACACGAAACTTGAAAGTTTACGAAAATAATATTATAATATATATATAAATATATTTATCTTTAGGTAGTAGACATATCATCATTTATAAATCTTACATATCTATTAAATGATAGTAGTTAGGTATATAATATTTGAAAAAACAGTATCGAACATCTCAGGTGTTACACCTATATTACATACGCTTTGTGATTACGTACTTACAGTTCAAACAATCGACAACAAGTCGTCTATCGATAGATTATGATCATTGTTATCTAATAGATAACCGTGATTACGATACACTAGAAATAACCATATAAATAGACGCTTACCTATCGGCACTACATAATATAATTTATTTATAGAACAATACCTATTATAAAATCAAAATATTATACAGGAATAATTTTTTTTTCTTATTACACGAAAAAAAAAAAAAATTAAATGAATGACACATATATTAAATTGTTCAATTCTTAGTCCACCAAAAATCGACTGATTGTGAACACGTGCGTACCAAAAGCGGTATCTGAGTCTGACCCGCAAAATGCTAACAAACCTATGTAACGCACGCGGATACTATTTGCCTAAATTATATTATCCATATGGCCATGACCATCACTTGTGATGTATAATAATTTAGTACGTCGATGTTAACTAACACTAGTTACAGATTGTTACATTTCAAAAGACTATTCCGAGAACAGATTTTCAGGAAAATTACACGTGTGATCAGTAATTTATTATTATTAGACTATTACTAATAGTGAGTGCTATGACAATTACGATAGCAATGATAACGATATTACGCGATTTTAGAAAAGATCTGATCAATTAAAATCAATAGGAAAACTTTGATTTTAAATTTAACAGAACACAAAAAGAAAAAAAATTAAAATTAAAGTATACGTGTTTTTCGACGAACGACAAATAGTTATATATATATATATAAACAATAATCGCAAGATCTCTCGAGAATCGACAACATTTATTTTTTTGTTTAAATCGACGCATAGTCATCATCATATAAAGACTCGGGACGATATATAGAATGGCGGCAAAATTGAAAAAACTCGACTTCGAAAAGAATTCTTCATAAAAACCAACTCTCCGTGCCCACTTTTAAGTCCGTTACGACTTGCGGTACCTATAGTCAAAATCAACATAACGGTTTTACCTGTAACGACGGCGACCAGTAGAACCAAGGCCAGCAGCGGCGTGGGAAGCCACGACGACAACAAGCGGTTTCGCATCATAATCGTGTGGTTTTCCGCTAGACGCGAATAACGACGATGAGACGACGGAATTTTATCACTCGCAAACGTATATCGCACACGTTGATAAAACGATGGAAATATCAATCGATTTGTCTTGTAAAATAATAATTATAACATTAAATACGTGGGTTCACGAATATTACGACTTAATCGGGTTTGGCGGTAACTTTTCAACAACGTACAGGTGACATTACGTCTCGGTATGAAAAAAAAAACACGGTGAAGTGATTAACCCGCGACAGTAACTTGAGTAACAGACGAAGACGGCGTGTACCAACACGTACGTGAATGTGCGTACGATGACGGCGGACAACGACTGCGGTGACGACGGAACAGCGACGCGCGAAACGATGACGACGGCCAGTGGCGGTTGGTAGACGGAATGCAGGTGCCGTGAGTTCGGCGCCGGTCGGCAGTCGTCGGTCCCGGCGGCATCGGCGGTGGCTACATGGTGCTCTTGACTCCTACAACGCGCGCGCAACGAAACACGACGCGCACCGGTTGGACCAGTCGCGGTGGCGGTTGTTACCTGTTCGTTTATGGTCGGTGACATCGCTTCGTTCTAGTGACTATACGACGGCGTTGGTTTAAAGTAGGTATTGCGCGAAGCGAATAAATTTCATTCCACTGGACCGCGGTATAATATCGTCTCTCTCGATACGAAACGGACCGTACTTTGATTTCCTAGTCGAGAGTGATGAGGTACTCGGCTACATCGAAATCGATAATACCATCTAAACGTATATTATATTAATATAATACACGACCTAAATAAAAAAAAATCAGTGAAGTTTCCATTATATGTTTATAAGTCCGTAAAAACTAAGCCCCTATCTAGTTATTCACCCTGAGCTTAATATACACCATGACAAAATAAGAAGTTAAATCACGAGCAATACTCTACCAATCTAGTTAAAATCAATATACATATAAAAGTTAGAACCTAGAGGAATAATTGGTCATATTGATGACGGTAATGTCAGTAAAATTTGAAAACTGTGACAAGTTATAAAGACGAAAGATATTTATTTTCATTAATGGAGATAGTAAAATCTGGTTAATATTAACTACCAAGTATGAATTAAAATAAATAAAATTATTGTTTCTAACAATTATTTTCAATACGATTGTCATTAAAACATAAACATCAATAAGGAGAAAATATTTATGCGATTTATTTTTTTATATTATATATTCAACAGTTTTATAAACCCAAATAAAACAATGTTTACATATATTATGCATAAATAAATTAAGAACAAACTGAATCGTTTTCGTAGTGTTTAATATTATACATGCAGTATGAATAGAAATGACATTTAATCAAAAGAGCTCTGAAAATTTTAATTCTTTTTTTTTTTAATTGACTGTATAGGTACATTTTAAACCACCCCTCTTTTAAAGATAGAACTCGTCATCGCTATTGGATCCGCTTCTGTTTCAACGGCACGTTTTTTTTTTTTTGTTCTCTGATGTTTTTCATCAATGCCGCGAAGCGACATCCGGTAAAAAAAAGATAATAAAACCCGAAAAGTAGAAATCGTCACTTCCCCGTGCACCCGCCAACCACAGACACGGTTCATTGTCGTTAAAAATTGTCTAAATCGTATAATACGGTGTATTATTAATACCTATTACCGTGATCGTCAAACACGAACACACTTGATTTCCGAAAATCCCGAACTATATGGTTCTTTAAAATATAAAATAGTTAAATTATACTAGATAATATAATATCATTAGATGTTCGATTTTCTGTTCTATTTTTTTCGCGTATACCAAACTACAAACGATGTTATTTTGAAAAACGTAAAAAAAAATAAACCAACAATAACAATACACTGCAATACAGTGTACACCTTCGTATATGTATAAAGTATATGATATATATTATGGGTACCTTTATATACCTTAACGGCTTCACTGATGTTTTCGTAGGAATATAGCATATCGGAAGAAAAACAAACAAAGTATATTATGTACACATAAATAAACTATACTACTACGCATCTATACACGTCTCTATATATCCATTTGAATACAAATTTTTGATCGTACCTATGTAATTTTCATATCTTCTAGAAACAAATACTACTTAAACACATACAACATATAACACACAACATACAAAATAAATATGGAATACTTTTTTGCTCGTGTTCCTGGTAATAATTTGTATATTAAAATCATTCGACAACTTTATTATATACAATATGCCTACACCATTTGAATTCCTCATAATATTATTATTTATTTTTCAGTTTTGAGTTTACACAATTTATATTAAAACATTTAAACACGATAAATTGAACATCATCAAGTACAACAACTTTAAATATTTTATCTAATCGATTTTTATTTAGGTACATAATTAATTATAACATAAATATAGTAAATTAATAATGTAGATAATTAACAATGCATAAGTACAATCGGTATAAGTATAGTATGTACATTTTAAATCAAATACATTTCAGTTACTTTCATATATCTATAATTTAAATTGACGTGTTGAAAATAAAACCACGATATAAATATGGAAAAATACTAATTATATTATGTAAAACTTGAATTTTTAGTGCACTGTTTTCTTTGTACATAGTTAAAGATTAATTTATCATTAAAAAGAGTTCATTAAAAATTTGATGAACTTGTATACGAAGTTTTTAATTTAAATTCAACTGAATTTGTATATTAACTAGTTTATTTCAAACATAACATTGCAACTATTGCACGGGACAGAGTATACAAATAAAACTAAAAATTTTAACAAGATAAAATCCCGGTTTATAAATTTAAAATTTACATATATGCTAATAATAAAATTGAATTATCAAAATAGTTTAATATTTGTTTTAGACCCTAGATTTTCAAATTGATGAATTATATTAAAAGAAAAAATATGGTCACACATTATAGTTCATAGTTTACATAAAATATATTGTAAATTACAATTATCTTATATAGTCAGTATTTTTTTACAGTTTATCATAATTTAAACGTAAATACAACGACATTAGAAATATAAATTTGAGACAAATAAAGTTTGCTAAAATGTTTCAAAAAATTTAATAAAAAAAAAATTAATAGAAAGAATAATTTTAATGCAGTCTAATGAATTCCTATATGACCATATGTATTTTAAACGATTTAAATTTTAAGACGTCTTCCTGTTTTAATAGGAGTTCAAGACCATAATAAAATAAAAATACTTTATTAAATATTATTATATAATATAGGTAACTATTATTATTTCTAAATTCTAATAAATTACTACATTAGGGATAATTCCTATTCTAATTCAATAGTATGCCAAATTATGCGTATAATTTATAATTGCAGTGACAAATTACCCACTAGACTCGTGAGGCTCGAGCCTAGGGCGGCAAATTCGTTAGGTATATCATATTATTTTTACTCTCTCTTTCAAAAAAAAAAAAATAAGATAAATGATTTTTTTCAATTAAAAGCTTAAAAGGAACTGCATTAAATCATTCATACTTTTTTACGTAATTTATAAATTTTAACTTGTAAGATTATATGTAATACAATATTTGAATTAAAGTGTAAATCAATAATTATTAAACCATACAACCTTTGAATCAATTATCACTCCCGGAACGGCTATACATGATTACCTTTCACTCTTTTATGTTAGCCTATTTAAATTATGGTCTTTGGAAAGTATTAAAAAAGGGGGGTGGTAAACACTGAGCGTGTCTTAGGGCGCCGAGAAGATTAATCTGTTACTATATATAATAGGACTAATAAGTAATCTGTGTATATGGTTAGAATTTAATAAATCAAATTTTTTCATTTTCTTTGAATTATTTCTTAAGAATATATAAGTAATTCTTAACAATAACTTAAATAGAAGTATAAAACGTTTACCTCATATTGAAATTATAGTAACGTTAAGATTTTGATATCATATTAATTTGTACTATTTACACACTAACAATACTTAATCTAAAATATATATCATTAATTATTATTATACGAACAATCAATTATACTGTTAAAAATGAGTAGTACAATATCTTACAATACATATACTTTAATCAGTATTGTGTCTGATTGCACATAATATTATATACATTATATTATTATGAGTCGTAAATAATAACTATAATAGTTTTCATAAATATGTATCTATGAAATAATATCTGTAATATTATACTTTATAATATGTTACAAAAAATATGTATATACATTTTTTAATTAGCTACATTATTTACATTATTAAATTCTTAACACAATTATTAATGTCTTAAATTATAAAAATAAAAAATATAAATACATAATATAATACATGGAATTATTAAATAAATGCAAATATGTAATATTAACTAATTTTTTTAAAACGTTTTAATTATTATTAACGTTCAATTAAAATAGAGTTCATCCAGTGACACCTATAAAAGAAGAATAAGGGTTAGGTGTTATACATATACTCGTACTATCGATGTAAAGCCATCTGTTTAAAATACATGTTGTATGTTCGTCATGAATATGTGTTCACACGCATAGTTCATCAAAAAATAAATTATTTTAAAACACATTAGTATATAGTATTATCTGTGTATTAAAATTATGTTAATTAATATAAAATGAGCTTTTGAGTTATTGTAACACAAAAATAGAATATTAATTATTGTTTGTATTTATATAACTAATAATTATTTATATATTATGTAATTAGTAATTGATATTTACATTTTAAAATAAAACACTAATCATTAAAAAACCTTTTGGTAGATTTCTATATAGACATAACGAACTATGACATTTCAATTATTTTTTTTTTTTATTGAACTTAAGCCCGGCAACTAGGGCCATTAGCTGTTTGTAAGGGTTACGTTGTAGGTTGGTATGGTAGGTTGTATTTTTATGATTGTTACGGTTGATAGCAAACACGTGGTATGTGTGGCAAGGTTTTTAACCACTATGATCCCGAATGGTCACCCATCCGGGAGCTAGTAGCTGTGGCCGTTACTTACTCTCAGTCGCATTCCGCGACTGGTAGCAGCCAACGCGCCACGCCAAGCCACCATTTCAATTATTGTTAGTTATGATTTTATGTAATTATTAAAAACTCTCAAAATCTTCTAAAAATATAAAACAATAATTATAATAAGATATTATAGTGATTAGAGAGTCTATGAAGATAAAGAAATGAATAATATCTAGTTAGCTATATATAATAATCTTTTTTTTAAAAATAAAGAATCTAACGACTAGCAAAGCACTTGTTATTTTTCACTCAAATATGAACATCAACACCAGCTAAAGACAAAACATTCAAATAATTATTTACATACACGGTATATTATTTTACTTGATATAAATAATTATA